GCCTCCCCACGTGCCTGGCTTCGCTGCAGGTTCGTTGCCTGCGTTATTTTGATTCCTTATATCTCTCCTACGCCGCGTGTCTCGTTACCTGTTTTTTTTGCCTTTTGTTTCTGCTGTGAAGCACGTTTGTATATTGTGTGTTGTGTCTGCCTGGACGAGTGCCGACTCCCACAGCCGCTGCTTCTGCCAAGTGCCTGGCGTCCGTGTCACGTCTCTGCTTCGCGTGACGGATACCGCTCTGCAGGGCGCGGGACGCAGGCGCTGGCACCTCCCTCGCTGTGTGTCCCTCGCGCACGCAAGCCGCTGATGTGGCGGCCAAAACACACACACACAAAAAAAAAAAAAACGGAGCTGGGGCCGTCAAAAACGAAAATCAAACAACGCAATGCAGGCCCCTCGCACTCCCTCCGTTGCCACGCGCCGTTTACTCGTGTGGTTGTGTGTGTATGTATTTCTTTTGTTTCTGGTGTTTTGTCTTCTTTCTTTTTTTAGTTGTGCCGTTTTGTTTCCCCGATTTTTTGACGTTGGTGCGGGAAGTTAAACGAACAACACACACGCAGAAAAAGAAAGAAAAAGTGGAAGGATAAGAAAGGGGGCGGTGAGTGGGGAAAAACTATAAATAAGTACTCCCTCTCCTTCCTCTTATCGCTGCTTGTGGCCTCTGTAAGGACTACAAAGGCCAAAGCTTCGCTGCAGATGTTTGCTGCCAGCCGCTGCCGTCATACACAGGAAGAGAGAGAGAAAGAAAGAAATAAAGAAAGAGGCAGGCAGGTGCAACGGTAGCGCGAGGACTTGCATGGAGGCAGGAAGACAGAACGGCATACATCCACGCGTGAAGGCGTATTTATATATACGTCGATGCAGAGACGCCCATAGCCATGCTCAGCGTACGGTGGAAAAGAAGGGAAAAAAGAAATGGTAAAAGGAGAAACTAGGGACAAAAAAAAATGCTCGTTAAACCAGTTTAAGAGCACCCCTCGCATGACGCAGCGTATGTCATTCCTCTCCTGCGCCCCCACCTTAAAGCCACTGCCTCAACCTCCTCCCCCCACGTCCCGCACGCTCACGCCTCGCGTTTTCTCTATTTTCTCTCTCTTTCTCCCTCGCTCACTCCTTCACAGTATGCACCACACACAATTAGTTGTGTTTGGACGGGGCTGACAACTCCAACAAAATCAAAGGGAAAAAAATAAATACAAACATAGCCGTCAAAGATGAAGGAAAGGAGGGAGCAGGGGGGGG